TATAGTTCTTTGTTACCATGAAGGTCAAATGGAAATACAGACCAATGTGGCAATGGGTGACTGGTTTCAGACAAATACAAAAGATGCAGCGAAGGAAGATAAAACTATTTAGCAAAAGTCCCTAAGATTTACTTTGTAAGTACATCTTTAAACTTTTTAAGTTCTTTTGCTTTGCTTGGTGTTTTTTTTGTTTGTTTCTTTGTTTGTTTGTTTGTTTGTTTGTTTGTTTTTTCGGTTTCGTTTGTTTGATTGTTGTTTAATAACAAAAGGAGTAACACTGTCTCGTCTCAGGGTTTGAGATGAAGATATCTGTTTCAAAAAGAATAGGGTCTACGAATGTCATGTCTGAGGGAAATCTGATCTTGTGTAGAAGTAAGTAGAAATAATCATGTTTAAATGATTTGGCGTGGTTTGTTTTGTGTTGTTTTGTATTGTATTTTTATTTACGAACTTGTTTACCAAAATTCATGTTATTGTTCATTAGGTGGACGGTGAGTATTTTTTGTTGTTAACAGCCGGGGTGTTACGTTCAGGTAAAAGATGACACATTGAAACTTACGTCGTTTTCCAAATAAATGTTTACGTTTGCCTCATTCCAGTAGTTACCATGGTTTCCGGACGCATTGAATACTACCAAGTTTCCACTGAAGACAGTAAGAGTCCCCATGGTACCTCCATACATGTGATAATAGAACTTTAGACAAGACAGCTGTTTATTGTCAGATACTGATAAAATAAGCTTTGCGTTATCACCGGCGACTCGGGGAGAAGACGTCTCGATGTACATATAGTATCCTGCGAAAATAGAAATCACTTTTTGTTTAACACTTTCAAAAGACCATAGATCCCGTTAACGTTAAAATGAATACGAATCAAGTAATGTTTTCAAGAGCATTTTAAAGTTCATGGATATAAGTTATTGAGGTAGCGTCAGGTCCATTTTGGAGAAATATTGGTCGACTTCTTTGTTTGTAGGTTTAGGAAACAAGCCGCAAAAGAGGTCCATGAAATTGCAAAAATACGGAACCAACAAGCTAGTTCAACAAAGTGTTGATTAAATCCTTTTCATCTGCTGATAAATTGATGTGCCTCTACGATCCATTCTCGTTAAACTCGCGACAGATAAGCACTTCTTTATGCTTCTCACGTCGCTTTTTTGAACATTTCACTGTCATTGTCCTACTAACACGAAGTAGAAGGGATTTATGTTTCATGGTTCATTCAAGAAATGTTATTTTGTGCCATGAATTGATAAAGCAATTCGCCGAAATTAATTCGTTTGCGGTCCATCTGAGCAGTCCATATTGCAAAATTCGGACCACTAAGAAAACCTCAATCAGAATTATCCTTTTCATCGTGGACCAGTTCAGCCATAAAATGAGAATGCATATCTCACCTGACCCACTAGTATGATCTTGATCGGGGCCTGTACTAGAAGATAGTGTTGATCCATAATGTCGCGTCCAGTTAAAGATGTCTGAGTTGGACTGTCGCCAGCCAGAGCACAGTCCATAATCGAAGTCACATGAAGCGATTGCGGGAACGGTTGCTGTAACGGCAAAAATACAGTCATCTGGTTGATTTGCTCGCAATATCATGACCAACTCAAAGCCACTCAGAACTTATATTTCACCCGCGAAAGTGAACGGAGGATTCAGCTGTTGCGTTTCTGTCTATGCTTTCATGAAGTGTAAGATCACACAAAAGCTATACTGCATTGATAATTTGCTATAGAAATCAATAGAGTGGTCAGATTTAGTCCCTAGATTTAGACTGGTGGTGCGTTCATCTTGATCAAGTGAATTACAAACTTCTATCAGGTGGACACTATTTATTTAGTTATTGAGGAAGCCAACACAAGCTTGAACAAAGCATTTTTCTGACTTTCGCGTACTCTCCGTTGCCAACCAGCAGTTTTACAACTCTACAGGTTTTGATAGTGTTAAGAACAGTTATTTCAAATCCATCATGCATTCACGCATTCATGCATTAATCCATTTATCCATTCTTTCAATCACTTTTTTACTTATTTATATATAAAGTAGGTTAAAGTAACAGTACTTGGTAATATAGTCGGTGGTAGAGTTGGAGGAGCAGTTTGCCCAAGGCAACTTCCACTGCTTATTGAAACATCATCAATGGCTATGTCACCAGTGTAGGAAGATCCTGCTATTCCTTCAAATGTGATCTATGAAGAAAATACGGACGATAACATTTAATTTTCAGCACTTATGCTAGCAAAAAAATAAAAATTATTGTAAGCAATCAAAATAAAACAACAACCGGCACGAGTACACCAAACCGTCCTTTTGCCAGATTTTGAGAGCTTCAAGAAGTTAACGTGAAGTAGTAATCGTTGCAGGGTGATCGTTATCCTCGAAAAAAAAAGCCCTGTTGGTGTTGATATTAGTCACTAACAACATTCCTTTTAGACTAAACTCGGCCAGTCAACCACATGTTTTTTTTTTTCCTGAAAGCAGAAATTTTCCCCACCAAACTCGCTATAAAGCTCAACAAATTCACCTAGAAACCCAGTGCCCACACCTTTTTAACTCTCGGACATAAAAGCAAACTAGGATCCTACCGTATTAAAAGGAAGGGGAATGGAGCCCCTCCGGGTTTTTAATACATATAAAGAGACATTTTTATTTTTAATAGATAGCTCTTGGTTTGCCCTACCAGAAGACATATTTTTCGTTGGTAGTGATATCAAGTGATGTCACATGACTTTATTGAGTTCGCCATCTTCACTATATATTTTATCAGAAAGTCAGAAAATCATGCTAACGGATAGAAAATCAGTGCGAAGTGATAATGGGGCGTAGAAAAGTACTAATTTTGTAACGCTGCTCAAGAAAAGTCGAAGAATGAGGGATTTTGTCAAAAAGACAAAATTTCGGCCTGGCCTGTATGTCCAAATGTGGTTGACATGGCAATGTGAACTGACGCGCAAAAATTATCGACACAAACAATTTGGCCCGGGACAAATGGTCAACTGCGGAGATCCTCATCGTCGTACATAAATAGCTTTCTATTCTTTTTATTTTTTAATAAAAAAAAAAAAAAAAAAAAAACTTCTAAGGAGAATGGCATCAACTCCCCCTCCCCCCGGTATGCCCGAGGGTTAACATTGTTGCAAATTACGTTGCGTGCTCCGAGACGACTAAACTTGTGGTTTAGGTTAACGGCTACTTAGACCTTATGACAGTCAGTAAAGAGGTAAAGAGTTTGACTGACGAACGGAGTCCTTCCTATATGGGGGTTCGACAAGCCTTCGCAAATACCACCCAGGTGGGGAGGTAATGTGTCCTTTTATTATTATTGTTATTATTATTATTATTATTAGAAGAGGAAGAAGAAGAAGAAGAAGAAGCACCGGTTTGAAGGTATCGAAAACACAGTTATTGTGGGAAAGGTTCAGAAACATACGTTGCCTTTAGTTAACCATCGGTACCGAATCTCAGATATACATTAATCTTAAAGACCAATTCATTAGAAAGAAAGAAAAGACCTTTAATTTTTTTTATCGTTATTTTCTTGTTTTTTTGGAAAGGTCAGATTGTTAAAAGGAATGCCGCCCAATTTTCAAAGCAGTTACGTGGACTCTTACAACTTACACTATAATCCAAGTAAATGGTTCTCTCTGCTTTTAGCCAAACGTTGTATTGGTTTCCTGACTCGCTAAATACTACCAAGTTTCCGCTGAAGACAGTCAGAGTTCCCATAGTATCTCCATACATGTGATAATAGAACTTTAGACAGGACAGCTGTTTATTGCCAGATACATAGAACGTAAGCTTTGCATTATCACCAGCGACTCGAGGATAAGACGTCTCGATATACATGTAGTACCCTGTTGAGCAAAACAGCAGGGAAACAGGAGTGATAAATACACAAATAAGATATTGCGTCAAAAGGCAAACCTCGAATCCTGTAACCGCAGTTTCCCAAATTTGCAGGTCTTGCAGTGTCTCAGGTATAACTTAAGTCAAGGACAATATTCTCATCTACACTTGTACACTTTGGAATTCTTCACGAGTGATGAGGCATTTAAATTCAAGCTCAATAATTTTCTCAGGACGCCAAATTCACCACAGGGTCTATCTTATGCGACGAATTCCAGATTGGAACATTTCGCTCTGTATCTCACTGAGGCCTAAAGAAGTAGTAAAGAAGGAACGACGTCTGTTTTCTCAAGCTTAGTTGAAAAAGAAATCCTACCTAATCCAGTTGTGTGATCCGATGAGGGTCCCGTACCGATGGATGAAGTTGAACCCGTCTTACGTGTCCAGTCAAACACGTCTGAGTAGGACTGTTGCCAGCCAGAACACAAGCCAACGTCAAAGTCACAGGATGTCAAATCAGGAGTTGATGCGTAATTAATCTTGCTTTTTATCCATGACTTTAAGTTACGAATGTTGGCGTATACCGTATATTTTGAAGGCGCGGCGCATGGCACTCCTCCCCAACTGGTGGCTCCCTCCAGATACCATTTACCATTGAACTCGCAAACAAGCGGCCCTCCGCTGTCGCCATTGCAAGCGCCCTCTCCTCCATGATCCTGGCCAATGCACATCATGGAGTCATCTATTAGGCCAGGATAAGATGCATTACAGCGTTGCTTTGATACCAGAGGCACATCAACTTGCATAAGTTCGTTTGGAGTGATGCCAAGATAGGAGAGTGTTCCCCAGCCAGTTATCCAGCAAGTTTTGTTAAGATCATCGAACGGAAGCTGAAATTCGATATCTGATAGACAAACAAGACCAACTCCTTTGCCTAGTTTAGCGGGTTTCGATAACTGAAGAACAGCGATGTCGTTGCTCCATCTAAATGGGATGTTGTAACTTTCGTGCTGGATAATTTGTACAACATCGAAGTCCTGTTCTGTCCCAACGGTGCCATAAGATCTGTAATGAGCTCCCAACCTTAAGCACAATTGAGCAGGAAAAAGCGTTAATCTATGTTCATATTTCACTGTTCTTTTGAAGAAGCTCAAAGCATATTGGAACATATTGTTTGTTTTTTTTGGGGGGGGTGGGGGTGGATTGAATTTCATTATTTGATTTTGGTTGATTCTCCAAGGTTTTCTACCAAATAATGAAAGTAACTTCAAATTAAGCAACTGCGGAACGTTTACGTCATAAAAATGATACTCTTATCGCAGTTTTGTACTTCGAGGTCATATAATTTTACTCAGTACTTTACTGTTTTATTTTTTCATTTATTTATTAATTTCTTCTTAGGCGGAAGTGGGAAGTAAGGTTTACAGTTAAAATCATCTATAGAGTTTCTGTGATTGACTATAATTGGTGTTTATTTTTTGATAGAGCTGTGTTTGTGTACATAATCATCATGTAAGTATGTACGTTTATCCTCCCAGTTTCTGAAAACATGATTGATTATCGCAGTTATACACACAACTTAAGCCGCGCGTTGTGAAATTAAAGCCCTGAATTTTTTTCAGGCTTTAATTTCACAACTGCTTAAGTTGTGCGTATAACTGCGATAATTAATCATGTTTTCATATCTTTCTCCGCAGTTCAAATATATGATCTTTCATATATTCACTTGCATTCTTCACCATCTACGGGTATATTACGAACTCACAACGTGACCAGCTCCCAGTTGGCAGAGCACTGCATGGTATCGCACAGGTCATGGGTTCGAATCCCGTTCAAGCCTAATATATATATATATATATATATATATTTTTTTTTTTTTAGGTTTTAATTTCACAACTGCTTAAGTTGTGTGTATAACTGCGATGATCAATCATGTCTTCGTATCTTTTTCTGCAGTTTAAATGCTATGATCTATCATATATTCACTTGCATCTGTTAGATTAGGGCTTCCTCTCATCGCACCAACTGGTATTCATTTGGCAGCTTTAAATGATCCGTCTCCTAAGGTATTGATCTGATTTTATGAGGAAAAAAACAAATATGGAGATCTAATTATGGTGCGACATTGCTACTCACCTCACTTTAACAGATGACGCGGTCTTTCCATATATACAATGAGTGGCCGTAACAACCCAACGAGGATAAATTAAAGAACCTCCACAAAACTGTCTACCGCTACCGTCCAGCAGCATTGCCTGCCAGGGCCAGCTGTTAATTGGTGCTATGGTCCCTCCAACAATTCGAGAACTGCTAGGGCGAGATCCACATGAAACTGACAAAAAAGCAGAACACATCAATGGTCACCGTTACTATAATACATTGTATCTCGAGAAGTTATCTACCAGCATGAATAAGACAACACTAGTCCTGATCGATTGATCTGTGTATTGCCAATTTACACTTAACTGAGTTGAACATTTCGAACATTTTTAAGAATACAGTCAGGCGTTGATCCATTAAACCATTTATACTACACATAAGAGGTAAATGTAACAGTTTCAATGTTTAAGTTAAATTCATAGCATCATAGGATTTTCACTATTTTAATAGTAAAATTGGCACCCAACAGGTGCTTCTAATTTAAGAAAATAATTTATTTCGGGTTAAGATGGAATAAACGTTCTTACTGTTTCTAGTTGTGGCATTCACTTCAAGAGTTTTGTAAGGCCGACCTCGCTCATCCACACCGAAAACCGTTACTTCGTAATTTGTCAAATGATCGAGTCCACCAATTTCCGTACTGAGTCTGCCTCCGTCTGTAACTTCAAAGGCCACTGCATTCACGTTCGTTCTGTTCAAAAGGATGACATAATGAAGAACTTTGCGGTTGAGTAGACTTGTTAGGTTTGACCACTGAATTGAGATACTGGTGCTGGTGTTGTTATCCACTGACACTGTCCAGCCAGAAAACAGAGCAGCTGAAAGACATGATATTCAAAGTAAGTTTGTGAGGAAGAAGTACTCAAAACGAACAGGACTAGTAACAAATAACTAAGTTTAGATGAACCGAATCCTGCGCTACGATTGGCTTACGCCATCTTGCCCGCTCGGGACTCCCCGCTGTGTATCACAAGAAATATTTCTCAGAAAATCATATACCAAGCTTGTTCGGTAAAGATGGCTGGATATTGGTCTCATTCATTTTTTTGCGAGCTTATGGTCTGAGACGGAACCTAGATGCAGCCAAGCTGACCTCACGCTTTGTAAATAACCCATAATATTATATTTAGACAATAGAGAGAGAAATGAACGAACAGCGAACGAATATACCAGGGGGCGAGGGGGGGCACAAAAACACACCGAAAGGATCGTTTTTGTTGTAAGGCATGATTAATTCAATTTTTTTTGCCATTTACATACCTGATTCGAGGCCAGTTTGCAAAACCACGAACTGAATTTTAGCAAGGCTGTACAGTTTTCTAAAGTTGATATTGACTGTAATGTTGCTGGATTTGCCGAAAGGAACTTCGACCAAAGGTGGACTAAGCGAATACCAGCAACCCCCGGCCGTCTGGTGAAATTTGACAGTTCCATTGCCGTCGGAGATCTTTACAAACTCACTAGGAAAAATTCACAAACAATCCTTAAATTCTTATTTCACTTGAGTATCCAAAGCAATGCACACTTACATGAGGAGGCAGCGTGGCTGAGTGGTAAGTGCGCCGGACTTAAAATCCGGAGGTCACGGGTTCATGTCCCGTTCTGAACACTTAGCTGCAGTTGTTTCTCGGCAGACCCTAGTGCAACTCCTAGTTCATGATTACAAATAGCCAACTGGTCTTCCTACCGCCTGTTGGGATTTTTAAGTCTATTATGTTTAGTTGATATATTTGTTTGATAGATTATGAGTGGCATGCCAGTAAACTGGTTATGTGTAGCTAAGTGCATTGACTATTATAAACATCAACATTTGAACATTTGATCATTTTTGTTCCATTACTGGGGGGGGGGGCGGAGGAAGAGGTGGCCTTTATTGCCCGAAAAATTTACGCAAAGCCAGATTGCGTGAGTGTTGAAATCGGAATGCAAACGCACTCAAATTGCATGAAAAACAGAAACGTTCACAGTTCCCACATCTATTGAAACTGCTATAATTCCAAAAATAGTTATATTCAAAGCTTGCAAGCTCAATCAATCATACTCTATCAACAGCCTCAATCCGAGTAAAATCGAAAACTTATTAAAAGAAAAAATTCTAGAAAAAGTAATGAGCTAGAAAATTTATTTACAAGGTTTGGAAATCACGCCAACGGCATTATTTTGCAAAGTTTTACCTCAAGTCTTGTCGCCCGAATCACATAATTGCCGTACCTCGGGGGGGCTCCCCACTCTTCATCCAATCCGAAGTAAAACGAAAGCCAATTCAGACTTGCCCGCAAGCGTTTTCCCACCACATCTAGTTCATTCCAGTAACATGTATGTGCTTCGAGTTTTGATTGGTCAACTGTGTTGTCTTCGTCTTTTCTGATTGGCCAAAACATATTTACTTTGGTTGCTGTTTTGCTACAATGAATTGAAAACCGCTCACTTGGGGCAGGTTGATAGTTTTTCATGAACATGAGCCGGAAAACCTTCTCATAATTTATTATCATTTAATTACCTGCAATAAGTTAAATCCAGCTTCTGGATTAGAAAGAGGGCTACTGCGTGGGTTATACCAACATTTTCTATCGTCCAAGAGCAATATAAGTAGTTGTAATCTGTTTGTGTAACATCTATGAGCCCAGCCGATTGGTTAATTGCGATCTTGCAAGCTGAAATAAAATGACGAATTAGTTCACCACCAATAATGCGAGAAACAACCCATTTCATTAATTATCAACAGTATCCTCTCCTAACCGAGTGAAAATATTTTTCCGGAGGAAAATAACACGAGAAAATTCCCCTAGGAAAGTGATATTTATATTATCCCATTATTTGCAGCATGGTCATGAGCAACTCATTATGGTGAGAGTTTTACGATATATTGCGGCGCCTCAATTATATGGCATTTTGATTTTTAAGATATAATTCAAACTGTCCTCGAGACCATAAAACACTCGAAGTGTTACTTTACACCTCCCCCCCCCCCCCCCCCCCCCCGCTCTAAACAATAATTCTGAGAGGAGGGAGACCTTTTTCACAAGAATAAAATAATGAACACATACTCCAATTTGCCATAGTTAACACAGGAAATATATTTCTTGNCCCCCCTCCCCCCTACACGCTCTCCACGCCACCACCACCACCTTGTCGAGTGACGTATGTTTTTTACTTTCATTCAATCTCTTATTACTTCTAATGGTTGGCCAGATTTGATTAGTTTGGCGTGCCTTTAACCTGACTGTCGTTTGAGAGACCTACCTGTTGTTATGTAGTAGAAGTAAGAACGCGGTCCTACTCCTTTAGATGTAAAAGCAGAGATGTAGGTATGGTAGCGTTGTCCCGGCCTTAGTCCTGTAAATGTCACGCTTGTGCTATTAGTAGTGACGTTTACACTGTTGGTGTTTGATGATACAGAGTAATACGCAGTCTCCTGGAAGTAGACATTGTATCCCAACAGCCGCCCATTGGCATACTGCTCAGGCAGAGGATTCCAGTTAACTGTGACTTCAGTAGATCTTACATTTGTGAAAGTAATATTTGATGGTGCCCTGCTAGGAACTGACAAGAGATAGCAATAGTTAAGACACAGAAAAGCGTTCGAACGACAAAGGGTTGGCTAGAACCCCTCCCCTGGGTTTTCATTGTAATGAGGCGTATATAAATTATGTTGAGTTTAATGGGTAGTCTTCGGCTTGCTCTACAAGATGATTTATCTTATCTTGGTGATGACGTCATTAAGTTCGCATCTTGGATCTGCCATCTTGGATTTTACTAGTTTCTCAGAAGGTAAGAAAATAACGTGAGCTGATGGAAAATATCAAAAAGTGATACCAGAATTCAGTGTAAAAAGTACCAGTTTGCCACGGTACCCCGAAAAAAGCACGAAAATTCTGTTAAAAAAGGCGAAATTTGGCTTGACCCGCTGGTCAAAATGCGTTTAATACGGCAATATCAAGATACGTGTGGAGAAATTTGACATGTCGAAATCTCAGCGAGAGATGAATGGACAACTACTGAAAGTTTCAGCATCACAGTTTAAATCCTTTTTTCAAAATTCTGAAAAATACCTCTGGGTGGCATTAAATCAACCACAAACCCCACCCCACCCCCCATCCCCTTCCTTATTCCCACTTGTACCCCCGAGGGCTAAAAATACAAGGATTTCTAATGACCGGGTTTACCTCCTTCTTCCGTCCAGGCTCTGACTTCAGCACTACTGTAAGCTTGGCCAATACCATTTACACCAACAACACTCAGACGATACTCGCTGTATTGCAACAGGCCGCTGAATGCGACGGAAGTACTATTTGCAGACATGATGTGGCAGTTTAGAATACTGCCATTAGTGCTTTTGATAAGTCCAAAGTAATGAAGAACTGCTTCATTCAGGATTGGTGTGAGATTTGGCCACTGAATTGTAATACTATTCTTTGTTGCGTTATCAATTGATACATTCCAGTTAGGAATCAGCGGAGCTACAAATAAAACACACGCCTCACAGTTACATGAGTACTGATAAACGTAATGGAGAATAATAACACGAGAATAGATAGTGGTCTACCCCAAGATTTATTTTTGTCACTGTTCCTGAAATAATTTAAGTTTAGATTAGTTCATGTTTAAGGAAAAACAAAAAAACAAACAAACAAACAAACAAAACGAAAAAACATCTAGAAAGTACACGAAGCTGTAGTTAGAAGTACCTAGCTTCCAACGAAAGTTTTAATATCTGTGCCCAAAAACATTTATGTTAAAAATACTATTTAATGGTTTAAACTAAGTCTTTTGCTCCATCTATGGCCGTTTTTCCTTTTTGCTTGCTGTTGAAGGGCCACCTGCCTGTCAGTCTGTCTTGTCGGGCCATCTGCCTGTCAGTCTGTCTTGCCGGTTGGTCGGTTGGTAGGTTTGTCGATTGGTCCGTTGGTTGGTCGGTTGGTTGTTTGGACGGTTGGACGGTTGGGCGGTCGGTCATTTGGTTGGTTGGTTGGTCGGTTGGTTGGTCGATTGGTTCGCTAATCGTTCAGTCGGCGGGTAGTTGGCTAGTTGGTTGGTTGGTTAGTGAATTACTTATTTCGTAGTTGTAGAATGCCAAATAATGAAAGAATCCAAAACATCTCATGTCTTTGATACCCTCAACCATGGCCCGTGATCTTCCCTGTCGCCTTTGCAAGTTACTTTGAAATGCCTAAAAAAAAAACAACAACTCACCTGACTGAAGCCCCTGCTTCACAATTCCGTACTGAAGCTTGAACTGACTCCAGTAGTGTGTAAGGTAGATCTCTACCGTGACATTCGTAGCGTTTCCATAACTGACTTCCAGGAAAGTTTTCCAAGGAGAGGACGAATGTCCATACCGATTAAAAGCTATTAAGCCATCTCCATCGATGATCTTGATATATTCACTATGAAATAGAACGGTAGTTGAAACATTAAAGCCGAAAAATTCTGATGGACTGATTGGAAATCATTATTTTAAGGAAACTCAGTAACACATTCTACTATAAGAGTTACATTAATCATTATTTGCTCAAAATCGGCTGCCAGGTTTAGCGCCATGAATTGCAATGCTCTTCATTGACAGTTTTTATGCGTTTGAGAGTTTCCCGTGATTCGACTTAATATATCAAATATTATTACTGCCCTAGAACGTTTTAACTCTAGGGCAAACTTATCCAAGCATATTGAAAAGTTTGATTCGCTTTCAGTAAACAGTAACTCGAACAACCGAATTTAGATTTGTTGTGGTGGTTGTTGTTGTTCTTGCTGTTAAATGTAATTTTCTTCTGTTTAGGCTCTCTCAGAATGCATCCTGTAGTGCTACATTTAAAATGTGATTAAAATTCATGACACTCACTAGTAGTACGAGAGGTACAACTCTTGTAAAGAGACAACAAGAACTGCCTGGTTGATTCCTGCGTTGCCAATTGCCCAGTTGCATCGCAAGTAAGAACTATAGTAGCGTCTGGGACTAACTTGCAACTCGCCAAAGGACTTGTTTAAACTTCCTCCACAACCTTAAGAGTGAAATGAAAGAAGATAAGGCAATCATAGTTGGCACGGTTCTAGGAATCACTTCGAGGTATGACTCGGCTAAATAAAGGAAGAAAAAGAAGAAAAAATGACTGCATCGAAAAAATCTGCATATAACTATAACTTTCTAAAATTAACTATCCAGCGTAGTACTCTTACCGGTGCCAAAAAACAAAAAAATTGTAACGGGCTGATCATGTTAATTAGGCGAGATTCCACTTCTCAATTATAGGGGCTGTCGGGTGTTTTCAAGGGAAGCTGGTGTGTCCCAAAAGTGTCTTTCTCTGTTTCATTTTTTGAGTATAAACTAGGCTTGAAATTTGAAAACCGGATGAATAACTTCATGTGTATTCGATGTTTTCTCTATGTACGTTTTTCCCTCTTACACGCACTTTCTTGTAAATAGTGGCTTTAAATAAATCAAGATAATACTCAGGTACGCTACAAATGTATTCTCTGTATATCTTGACAAAGGGACTAATAAATTACCAGTTGTAATGTAACCATAAGATTGTGGTCCCACTCCTTTTGAAGTAAAAGCTGCAACTGAAATTCTGTATCGCTGGGCTGCCTTTAGACCTCTCACAATCGCCATGTGGACACCAGAGCTATTGGAGTATACAGTTTTAATATAATTCACATAGTAGTCATTCTCATAAACGTAAATGGAGTACCCCAGGATTCGACCATTGGCATACTGCTGAGGAAGAGGATCCCACTGTACCTTCACCTTACCGGTCTGTAAGTTTGACAATCGCAGGTGTGATGGTCCTCTACTGGGTACTGAAAATAAACAATGATTTAAGCTTACAGACTAGTCTGTACATGTAACAATGCTAGGGATATCAGAGAAACCATGTCATTACATAAGCACCCCTTCTGGCAGCATAAATAAAGGGCCTAAGAGTATCATAAGTCCTTCGGAATGGTATACTAGTCCATCGCAGATTAATGCCAGTAACTTTGTCGGTTTCCTCTAACTATTTACCAGCCCTGAACATAAAGTGGCAAGAGGGGCTATCATTGTTGCTGGTCCTATCTTGGACGACGATNTTATAAAAGTATGTGACAAATGTACCTTTTATAATTTAAAAGTATACGAAAGGTTAACATCTCCTGTCAAAATTGTATTTGAAAGTTAAAGAGTTGGACCTCAGGGCGGAGCGTCCCTGTATAGAACCTCGTAGAGAACACCCCGGCTCTCTTGTTACATAGCCATTACTAACCTGACTGAATGCCTTGCTTCATAATTCCATATTGAAGCTTGAAGTGACTGTAGTAGTATGATAGGTAGACTTGTACGGTAATGTTGTTTGCACTGCCAAAATCAACCTCCAGGAACGTTTTCTGTGCAGCTGATGAGTATCCATATTGATTAAGAACTACCGAACCATTGCCACTAAGGATTTTCAAATATTCGCTAAGAATGTGGAAAATCAATTTGATTAGTAGCAATCCTCTATCCTCTTCATAAAGCCAAATGATGTACCTATACAGAAACGGTAATGTACCTCAAGGTTGCGCGATATTTTTTCTTATTATTATTATTCTGGCCAAGAAACACGATTCTCGCTTTTTTTGCAACGCTGTTGACTTTTTTTCTGCATAAATACTGGTATCCTTAACAATTGGAGATAAGTGGGAAGTTACCATAAAAGGCTTCACCTAACTTATTTTTGCTAAGTCAATTTTACCTCCCCTTGCCTCCAACCCTCTTTTCCCTTAATAACCTGACTCTCGCCTGAGTAAAGAGAAGCCCCTGCACAACCCTTTCCAAGTCTACGGCTATTAACGAAAAGGTAAATGATTATAAAGAGATAATATATCTTTGCTTTATTTTTACCGAGTTGAGTGATTTAAAATCTCCNACCTTCTTTCATTTCCCAGATTCTGGACTTAATCTATTGACCGGTTTTGATTTTTATTTTGATCTATTTTAAATTGCGTGACACTGAAAACCAGCAATTCTCGCTTTTTTGCATAAAGACTGGTCACCTTAACAATTGGAGCTAAGCAGGAAGTTACCATAAAAGGATTCACCAAACTTATTAAGCTTAGTCAATTTTACTTCTCCTTGCCTGCAACCCCTCTTTCCCTTAATTACCCAATTCCCGCCTGAGTACAGAGAAGCCCCTGCACAACCCTTTCCAAGTCTACGACTATTAACGGCTATGATTATAAAGAGATAGCATATCTTTGCTTTATTTTTATCGATTTGAGTGATTTAAAATCTCCTATTACTATACCATCTTTTCCTACGCACAAGTTCACTCATTGCGTCAAACCAACCCTGCATCTTATCAAAACACGGTCTCTTTATCAATCTCCTCCCACTCACCTCCTCTCCCTCTCTCCTCCTCTCGAATTTATCGCGACAACGTACCTTGCAAAAATGGAGGGTGTTCAGGTACTTACTAGGAATAATAGAAGTACAGGTCCTGAATCCAAACAAAAGCGACTGCCTGACTTATGCCCACGCTGCCAATCTCCCAATTACATCTTACGTAACTTGAGCCTCTGTAGCGGTCAACATGTATCTGACCAAATGATTGATTTATGTAGCCTCCGCAACCTAAAGGAGGGAATCAATGACCTGGTTAATAAACAAGCAGGTAGGTATAGAAGAAAATTGAATAACCCAGTAACAGCGCATAATTGCAGTTCCTTGTCATTTTGGATTTATTTCCCATACATTTACGTTTTTTCTAACTTTATGATAAAATGATGATTTAGCAAAGATGGAACCAAAATGGCGGACNATTTCACTCACGTAACTTTTTTATGGCCGATAGTTGTGTAAGCTAACTTCGTCTTAAATAACGAAAACGCACCCTGGATAACGGATGGTCGTCAACACGTCTTATCTTGAAAACAAACACGGTAACACCCCATTTTCTTACCATTTGGTAAAAGTTGATCTTTACCATACTTAAGCTTCATGGTAAGTTAAAAAAAAGAAATCTGTCCGTGTGAACATTTTGGTCTAATTTTACGGACTATCGTAATCCTTTAATCGATGCGTGACTAATTATTATCTCAAGTCTACTTAGCTGCCTCCATGTAATATCTCGTTTTCAACTGCACTTTTATTTGACACTTCCCTATATTTTATTTCCTACGATTAGAAATAAATACCCGTAAGAGGTGCTCGGTAAGCTTGTTCATTTATTAGAAAATAATTGTACCTGTTGTAATGTATCTCCGGTAGGACTGTGGTCCTGCACCCTTTGATGTGAAAGCTGCCACTGATATTCCGTAGCTGTGTGCTGCCTTCAGACCTCTAAATATCACCATGTGAACGCTGGAGCTGCTAGTGTTTACAGTGTTTGTCAAACTGTAATACCAATAATTAAACTCGTAGAGATAAACTCTGTACCCCAGTAGAATACCGTATGCAGTGTGCTGAGGAATGGGACTCCATTGTACCATCACTTCATCGAACTTTAGGTTTTTCAGTGTCACATTCGATGGCTCACTGCTGGGCACTGAAACGCAAAACAAATGCTTGAAAAGCTAGAAAAAAAATCGTTTTGCAAATAACAGAAACCCAAGCTGAAGTCTGGGAGGAGGCCGGAGGAGAAATCCTGTGGGAACACAAACTGTTGGCAAGTATTACCATAGCTTTTCCCTGTTTATCGAAACCCATTAAGCGATCTTTACATCAATACCTCGTGCTAGCTCTTTTTGTTTATTCTTGGTTTTCATGTTACCTCATTGCCGCCATGTTGGATGACATGAACAAAAGATTTATAATTGCCTGTTTTGATTTTGTCTTCCAACATATTCGCCAACCCTTTGACTTTTGAATCTCTTTGATTTGGTTACATATCATCAATAGCTAGGGTTATTAAAAAAATGCAGCCTTTAGCGTTAGCTTTCAATTCTTACAAGGTGTTTCTAATTCAGTGAGCTTCATGTTCAATTGTTTGCTGAAAAGAGCTGTCGTTACGACCATACTGAATTTCTCAAACGAAGAAAGAGATTGACTGAAAGAACTTATTTCCTGGCGAAGAAACATTTGCAAACTCTATTATGGCGTTCATGACGCCATGTGGTCTAATAATATGCGTCCTCTATTTGTGCGTTGTAAGCTTGACTTTCAGAATGCGCATGACAAAAATACCATCCTCAATTCTATGGACATTCTATTTCTGTTGCTGGTCCTATCTTTGACGACGATTCTTAGATACCTACTGTAGACCAAGTAGTTAAAATCCCAAGCAGTATAGCAATAAAATCACTCTTAATTTCTCTTAATATTCACATATTTTCAGTATACAAAAGTAGTGAGAAGAAACGCCGTGATGTTATAAGCAACTGACCAGCTGTCTTAGAACCGTATTTTCGCAAAGGAAATCAAACAAAATACATGATTAGGTGCTGATGCAAAACGAAAAGAAATACAATACCTCCTTCCTCCGTCAGGGCAGTGACGTTGGAGCTCTTGTAAGGTTGNTTTAGGTTTTTCAGTGTTACATTCGATGGCACACCGCTGGGCACTGAAACAAAACAAAACAAATGCTTGAAAAGCTAGAAAAAAAATCGTTTTGCAAATAACAGAAACTCAAGTGGAAGTTTGGGAGGAGGAGGAGGAGGAGAAATCCTGTGGGAACACAAGCTGTTGGCAAGTATTACCATAGTTTTTTCCTGTTTATCGATACCCATTAAGCGATCTTTTCATTAGTACCTCGGGCTAGCTCTATTTGTCTATTCTTGGTTTTCGTGTTGCCTCATTGCCGCCATGTTGGGGACATGAACAAAAGATTTATAATTGCCTGTTTTGATTTTGTCTTCCAACATCTTCGCCAGCCCTTTTACTTTTGAATCTCTTTGATTTGATTAGATTTCATCAATAGCTAGGGTTACAAAAAATACAGCCTTTAGCGTTAGCTTTCAATTCTTACAAGATGTTTCTAATTCAATAAGCGTCATGTTCAATTGTTTGCTGAAAGAGCCGGCTGTCTTTACGACCACACTGAATTTCTTAAACGAAGAAAAAGATTGAGTGAAAGAACTCATTTCCTGGCGAAGAAACATTTGCAAACACTATTACGGCCTTCATCACGCCATGTGGTCTAACAATATGCGTCTTCCATTTGTGCGTTGTAAGCTTGATTTTCAGAATGCGCATGACTAAAATATTATCCTCAATTCTATGGACATGCTATTTTTATATACTTTGTTACCTCCTTCTTCAGTCCTCGTTGTTTCTGTTTGAGTAGAGTAAGTACCGTTGCCAACACTTGTCGTCACAGCAATAACTTGCACGTCGTAAAACTGGTAGCTTTTCAGAACTGCACCAGTGTAATGTGTGTCATATGAATTTGGGACTTCAAAAATCAGGCTGACATTTGAATTATGTTCTCTGTAGTTCACCAAGAATCGCTGAATAAACAGGTTCGTTAGAGGAAACTGTGACCACTTCACTGTCGATGAAGAAGACGTGCTATTGGTGACCGTGAGATTCCAAGATGGCAGTAGTTGTGCTGATGGAAGAAAAGATAAAATAAACAAACTGATAATGTGCTTTCCGCCCAAATAAGATGTGAAAACATGTAATTCCCGTGTTTGATTATCGAGGATTCCGAAACACCACAAATGCTAAGGTATTTTTGGTTTTCACGTGACGCTATCGCCCCCATATTGGATGGCATTGACAAAACATTTCCTTCTAACTTGTTTTGTTTGGGTCATCCAAAAAAGCCCCAGGTTTTATTCATTTGATCATGAATCTCTAAGGATTTGTTGCAAAGCATCAATAGAGTGAGATGATGTGTTATGTTAAAACGTATTTAGAAGTATGATGTTAGATGCGTTAATGAAATACAACAACTGGCTGGTTTTAATTAAGTACAAGATAAATAAACAGCTAACACAAGTTGGGCAAGATTAGGAGCTAACGATGCCTTTGAACGAGAACTTGCGTTTTTCTGTTTACTGACTGATACGGGGATTATCCCAAGCGTAGCCAAGGTTTTTTATATTGACTTCTCTTCTCCAGACTTGTGTGTGCATAATACCGAACAACTACTCAGCAGTGAACATTTTTGACACTTCGAAATCTTACCTAAGCTTAGCGCTTGTTTTAAAATTGTGTACTGGACTCTGACGTAGCTGTATCTGTATGATAGTGATGCTGCTAGTGTTATGCTGCTTCCACCAGAAAATGGAATTTCTACGGTGAGCCCGGAGGTAACTGAATTACATCCTCTTCGACTGTACACCTCAACGCCTTGGCTGTCAAAAATCTTCACGAATTCGCTGTACAAACCATTACAAAAACACTGGTCAATCAACAGATCATTTACAATTTACTCAAAAAAAGACCANAATAAGTAAAAATAGGTAAATAAATAAATAAATAAAAATAAGTAACTACAGACAGGCAGATCGACAGATACACTGACCGACCCACCGCCGACCGACAGACAGGAATACACAAACACGGATGGACGGACGGGTGGACGCACGGATGAATGTACAGACAGACAGACAGACAGACAGGCAGGCAGACAGATGATAGACACAGAGAAGGTAATAGAAAGCAAAGCAGAAATATGAATGAGGGAGCGGGGTTACCTGAGTAATCAGTAAGCTAGTAAGTAAATAAAAAGGGATAAAATATAAAAAGTAGAATATATGGTCTCAGACCTGAATCAAGTCCTTGGCTCAAGATATCGTAATCAAGTTTGACAGCGCTCCACCTATATTCCAGGGCTATTTGCAGTGTTAAATGGTTTGTTGTTCCAATTGGAACTTCCAGTGAAGTACCATAAGGGAGAGACGATTGACATCCTTCATGGTTAAAGACTTCAGTGCCATTCGAATGAAGTATCCTAATGTGTTCACTAAAAAAGCAAATAAAAAATGAGTAACAATATCCCAGAGTTGGTGGCCAAAGACAATAGTCGAATTACTCTCTACGTTAAATTAACTTACACGAAAAAGTTAAGGACAAGCTAATCATTCTCATGCTGAACAGAAGAGTAGTGTTGCTCACCTGAGGACTAATCAGGTTAACCCGTCTGTTAGTCAGACTTACCGAAGTGCAATGCCAGTAAGGCTAAGAGGAGCGCTATTCAGGCCAACCGGAGTACATAACATTATAAATAACTTTTAGCTTGCAAGGATTTCATAACTCATTGGTTCACAGATTGTCACGACCTCAAAATAGTCTCTAGCTTTTGACAATCGACTTTATTCACTGCCTTCCTACCTGCAATAACCAAAGTATATCCTTTGTAGTGAGATAATTGCAACTGCTTGACTTATTCCAGCACTACCGATTGTCCAATTGCAATGTGATTCGCTCTCATCTCCAGAATTACTAATGTCCACCTCTCCAAAGGATTTATTCAAAACACCTCCACAGCCTAATAAGTCATTAATGGGAAACATATGTTTTAACGTTTTTCATATGAATGATTCAAAAATGGCGAAAATAATAATTATAACGAAAGAAGAAAAAAACACCGCGGACCACGGCGAACAAGGATAATAACTAAAGCTTGAGTATCGGTCTTCCTAACGGAGGGGAGGAGGGGAGAGGAGAGAAATAAGGGGGAGGAGAGAGAAAAAACGATAGAAAGCGAAAAGGAAGAAAACCTTCCTCCGCCTCTCTCCTACTCCTTTCTCCCCTCCCCTTAGGAAGGCTTAATGCTCAGGCTACAATAAATGCCACCAGTTGACGAAAAGTTTGAAATGTCTACCATCTAACCAACAAGCTGGGACGCTCTGTACCGCTACCTTTGAAACGACGGGAATGTAAATAGATGCCATAAACACAATGTCACCAAATAATTATAATTTTTCGCAAATCCATCTTATGTACATCAGCCCCAATTAATAACAACAGAAGGCCGGCTACCAAGTTTTTGATAAAAGATGGCATCACCCACAGACATCTTACCTGGACAGTTTCCTTCGAGAATTGTGACGTCATCAATGGCAATGTCACTTTGGTATGATGATCCTCTGATCCCTTCGAATGTTAACTGGAAATGAAAATTTTATGTCACCAAATGTTCACATAAAGCGTCTAAGTTTGAACCGTATTTTTTTCAATTTTCAAAGAGACGATAATTATTTGCACCAAAAAGTATGTTACCTTACTAATGATTTTGAATGGAAAAAGCATTGCAATGGTTCAACAGTGCTTTAAGCTAAAGGCGTATATTTTTTCTTATTAGTAGTAATTTGTTTAAGGTAATTCCTCTAAAATAAAAGTGACAATAGATTTTTGTTCAAACTTTGTCCACTGAATATTTATCATATGACAACTTCAATTTTGAAATAAAAAAGGGGGGTGCCCATGCTCATTAAGGAGCAGTGAGGGATTGAAAATGCCCCATTTTGGCATTATTTAATGCTNCCCTTAGGAAGGCTTGATACTCAGGCCACAATAAACGCCACCAGTTGACGAAAAGTTTGAAATGTCTACCATCTAACCAACAAGCTGGGACGCTCTGTACCGCTACCTTTGAAACGACGGAATGTAAATAGATGTTATAAACACAATGTCACCAAATAATGTTTCGCAAATCCATCTTATGTACACCAGCACAATTAATAACAGCAGAAGGCCGGCTACCAAGTTTTTGAGAAAAGACGGCATCACCCACAGACGTCTTACCTGGACAGTTTCCTTCAAGAACTGTGACGTCATCAATGGCAATGTCACTTTGGTATGATGATCCTCTGATCCCTTCGAATGTTAACTGGAAATGAGAATTTTATGTCACCAAATGTTCACATAAAACGTCTAAGTTTGAAAGGTAGTTTTTTTCAATTTTCAAAGAGACAATAATTATTTGCACCTTAAAGTATGTTTCCTTACCAATGATTTTGAATGGAAATAGCATTGCAATGGTTCAACAGTGCCTTAAGCTAAAGGCATACATTTTTCCTTATTGATAGTAATTTGTTTAACACTGACCGTAAAATTACAAAATCATCGTGTGTCTATGCAACTGTGTTGGGATTGATTAGTTTGAACGGTTTAACGATCGATAAAAAAATAAATAAATACTAGTTATCCGACGCTTTCGAGTCGTATACCGTGAAATATCCCATGATTCACCTGCATTTTCTAGGTTCACCCGAAAGTCTTTAGGCGCGGCCTTTTTTACGTTCTACACACGAGCTTTTAGGTGAGTGTGTATACCAAGAAAATACAAGTGACAAGTGCAACATTCCATGGCATACCACGAGAAAGTGTTCCATAACTATTTCATGCCGTGGCATAGAAAATACAGTGGCCAACACAACCAATGTGACATGCGCGTGTGCGCGCACAATGGGAAGGTTGAGTGTAATACCGTCGAGTATACAACGGCTTCCCTGTATTCTTATTGGCTGTGTTTACTACTGGCATAGTATAAAAATTTATATCTATCATACTTACCACATCACTTAGATAAAGCACCCTTGACACTTTCTTCCAGTAAAATCCCTGATTTCCTGATTTAGTGAATATTTTGTCATTTCCATTGAAGACGTTTAGAGTTCCCATCGAAGATCCATACATGTGGTAGTAGAAACTCAAGCACGAGTATGATGGACTCCTTGGTACTGCAAGCTGAAGCTTGGCATTATCACCCGATGACCAATATGAAGCTTCAATGTACATATATTTGCCTATGGAAACAAAATCA